TTTAATTTTCCTAGCTGTTCAGTGTCAGATGTAAAATAGTGATGTAAGATGTAGCATTCTCTACCAGGAACACCCCCAGTTTTACTGATTGGGAACAAAAAGGGCACAGTCTCCCAACTTTGCCAATCATGTGGCAGAATTTCTTATGATCCTTTGACTTATCACTGTTTTGTTTGTTATGGTTTACTGGAAAATCAATGCCCCCTATGTCTTTCTACAATTAAATGGGAAGGTCTAGTTTCATTCTTGACTCCTGCCTTTTACTTTCTGCAGTTTTGCATTACATCAGCAGGAAACAGACATAGAAAGCGAGCTATGATTAATCCAATTTATCCCATTTGCTGTTCACATTTGCAATTAGCTTTGCCCCAGCTCTACCCATGTGATTACATATTACATTTCCAGAGTTCAAAGTTATGTTTTAGCCATTTGGAAATTAATTTGAAATTAGTGATCCAAGCTGAATAATGCACTTTAGCTCCTTAGGGACACAAAAATATGTGGTTTGCCAGTGGCAATGCTAAAGTTGAACATGCCAGTAAGTGTTGTTGATTAAGAATTCACTGCTTACATCACATAAGATTGTGCTGTGAGAAATATTTACAGTTCTAAGCCTGTCTGAGGTGTGCAGTGACTCAACAGTCAGCAGGGGCACCAGACTATGGATGCCGGCCAGCATCTATGAAGTAGACAGATGTCCAGACCTCAATAGAATTTGCCTGGTCATTCTTCTAGTTTACTTTAAAAAAAATACAAACTAAAATATGTTTACAAATGCAATCCATGTTTTACAGCACAAATGCAAAGCTCCTAAATGCCAAATTACATTCAGAAAACTGTCAAAACCTAATAAAAGAATCAGCGTCACCACATTATTTTCTTTATATATTTTATTTTACATTCCAAGATACAAAAGGGATAGAAGGCTAGCACTCAAGAATTATATTACTTTTTGGCGTTACAATTTATTTCAAAATATTTAAGTTTTGCATTGATGCCTTAATTCATTAATGATTATTTTACATAATGCAAGTATACTTTTAAAAACCTCTTCATTTAAAATAAGAGAGAGTGGTCCAGAAGACATAACAATACATAAGATGAACATAAATGTTTAAACCGTACGCAAAAAAGAAACAGTGCATTCAAATATGGAATATAACAATCAAAGTAATACAAGGGGTTAATATGCGCAATGTACCATAGTTATGGCTATGGCTTCCTAAAGTGGCACATCACAACTGGTACATTCATGTGTACTACACTTTTCATTAATAACTGTTGATGAAGTGGTAAAAGAAAGGCACCATATATTTAAATGCAAGGATAGAAAAGTTTCTACTCCCTTGGTTCCTTCAGTGTTTTTTTGGAGGGCATTGTGACACCAGCTCAACCACTAAACCTCACTGTGGGATTCTAAAATTTTTCCAAGGTCTACTTTACATGATGTTATTTTGAAATACTTACTACATTCATTAAGGAGCATTGCAGTTAAAACAAAAATATTACATCCACAATGATTCATTTTAAAACAATAAAGTAGTGACGAAAGGCATAGTAAATAGCGGATAGTAGGATTCTCTCGAGACTCAGAAGTCATTTTACTGTAATGAAAATCTGTGGTATTGTTACAGGTAATGTTACAGGTATAGACTGTATATTAAACTCCTTCACCCTTATGCAACCATGGAAGTATACTCCTTTTTAATGAAATATTCGCTGTAAAAATGTTATCTATGTGCCTTATGTTCCAGTGCATTTTCACTGTTGAATTTTGCTAGGGCCATGAGCAAGCATATGCACACATGCCAAACCACATCCCTATTGCATATACAATAGATACTCTGGTTGGCTGCTGTTCATTTTCTTTAACTTCTAGGGCTAGGGATTTCTTCAAGACAACCTTAGTGAATCAAAATTATGATATCAGTATTGCAAAGAAGAACAAAGTCACACACACACACACACACAACAAGAAGTGTATAATAGTGTATTTATTGAGCATGAGTACGAGTTTTTATAGACAGTGGGTGAGTCTTGGGTTGCATAACCCAATAGAATGGAGTCCTCTGCTATACAGCACAGCAAAAGGGAGTCCTCAGCTACACAACAGAAAGGAGTCAGTTATTGAGAGGTGGTTTCCATTACAACCACATATATTCCAACATGGCATCCTGTTCTACTGCTTGAAATACCTTTTAAATTAGCTTGTGTCAGTGGCATATAGATTAATGCCCAAGTCCCATCGCACAAACAGTGTTTTGCCTGATGAAGGGGGCCCTGCGTGGCCCTAAACTGCCCCGTTCCCCCCAGCCCAGCATCGGGCACCAAGCTGCTGCTGCTGCTTTACCCCCAACACCCATCTTCCCCCTGAAAGCTTTAAAACACTTACCTTTCCACTAGAGCAGCTCTGCTCCCGCCTTATTCTTCAGTGTATAGTCGACTAAACTAGTGTATAGTCGACTTCAATATAGTCGACTAAAAAATTAGCTCCGCCCCTGAAAACCTTCCTGCACGTACACAGGAAGGTACCAATTTTACTGGGAAGTGGGGGGGGGGCGTACCAACTGTACTGTACATACTATTTTATAGCATAAACCCCCCCAGCCGCTGGGGCCCCTTACTTGAGTACTGGCTGTACCCCCCTGATGGTGGCCCTGCCTGTCTGGTCTTTTGTTTGGACTGTGATTTAGACATGATGCTTGATTTTATTATTTCTGATTTTGACCTTGTGTTTCCTGTTTGACCACTTGTGGATTTCAGTTTTGTTGCAGGGTTGCATCTCATTCAGATATAGTACTTAACCTCATGCTTAAGTCCTGGATCCAACCAAACACTCTTGGATGCATTGAGCCTTATGAGAATGGGCGCTAAAAACGTGAGTACTATGTGCACCGTACCTTAACAAAACGCTGGTGGTATCCATTCTCCCACACTCATCTGAGTCCACAAAACTAAACACCAGCAATCAATTTATGTAGATAGAGACCCCCCGCCCCCCTAATTTTACTGTATGCAGCTATGCACAGACTACCACAACTGTTTGCAGAGGTTAGGGCCTCAATGAATTTCTTATAAAAATAATTATATATGAAGTCTTAGGAGTAAGGATGTTAGCCCAGAAAGATAGTGAAACACTTACTTGTGACTTTGATAAGTTTCATATTTATAAGAATGTTTAGAAATGCTATTGCTTAGAAAAATTCACAAATTAGTGACATGTTAATTGATTGTGTAACCTGATGGAAAATAAATCATTAATTGTGGAAAGATAAGGATGTGCTACAGGGGGACCAGGCATTATAGCAAGTATGTTTGTTTTCTCTACATAGATGAACATTTCTCATGGATGATTACCAGGTCTGCCAATGGTCAAAGAAATCATCAAGCACTGTGTAGCATTGTTTCTTAACCAATGTAACGCTATAATGGTTTTCAGTCCAGAATATATTTTTTTATGGACAACTGAGCAAAAAATTTTAAACAGATGAAACTATGTATGTACATATTTCCAGAGAAGCATACTGCTCTATTTTCTGCAATGATTCGGTAGACAGCAATGATATGATATAATAGCAAATCTAGGCAATGGCTGAAAAAAGTGCTATCAGGAAAACACTGCACAGTGCCAACAGCAGAAAGTACCTGAGCTCCCTCAATCCATTGGCCTTATATTGCACCCAAATCATCTAACAGGCTCCATAGGAGGAGCAAAAGGATTAAGCTTCCTGAATCCAAGATCTGTGACTTCCTGCTTTAGCCCGTTACAGTCCTTGAAACTTGGCCTTAGAGGAAGTGGGTTTGGTGATGCTGAACATCATTCAACTCACTAGAAGAATGGCACTGGACTTCCGAACAGTGTGTCTGAGGGGAACAGTACATGAAATAGGTTAAATATTGCAATTAAGGCTGGGTTTTTTTTTTAATTTCAAGAAGGACTGGGTAGTATTTTTCTTTTAAACTAGAAGCTAGGATTGATTTTTTTCATGGACCATCTGGATTTTTGTCAGCCCTGCATGTTTTATGCTGTGCTGTTGGTGTGGAAGAATTCTTCCTCTCTTCTCATGGAAAAGAGAACGATCAAAGATCAATTACAAGAGATTTTCCAATCATGCTGGCTGGTTGAGCCCATACCATATCCCACTGGAGCCCTGTGAATACGGTGAAGTGCATGAGCAGCCTTAGCCTGCATTCAATGATTCCTGCACGCATAGGGTTAATCACCTAAACAGTAACCAAAGGTCATCCTTGCTGTTAACTAGAAACCCTTATGACAATGTAAAAAGAAGTGACACGATGCATCTATAAAATTATATAACTTAAAGGTTACATGTTGAATGGCAGCTAAGCACTGTAGAGTCTATGCAGGGGAAAAAAAAACCCAGCTGACTTGAGGTTTCATACCACTAACTCAGTTAGGGGATTTGAATGACATCATAGCCTATGAGCGCATACTGCAGACCAGCTGCAATTATTTAAATGACGCTGTTATTGTTGTTTTATATACAATTTAGGTTTCAGTGTTTGTCAGACATTTACTGTTTCTTGGAAAATTCATATGCTTCCCATGGCAAGTAATGTGATTTCACATGGCAACCTATTACAGTTATGTTTAGAAAAATAGAGGGGGGGAAACATCTGTCATTTCCATAAAATGGCTACCAGATCGTGTTGCAGATTGCAATAAAAATCCATTTTAAGTCATATTTTCCTCCTGAACTTTTATCACTGTGTACGTCAAACAGATTGTATTGATTGCTTGCTGAATCCTACCTACATCATGCAAGCTTCATAAGAAAAAGATGTGAGAGAGCAGGCAGGAGACAAACCAACAGGCTCATTTCCATGCCTTTTATTTTTGGGTTGTTTTTTTTTTTTTACTGTGTCACTAATGTGCAAGTAAAAATAAATATACTTTGTGATCCGGTCCTGAAATGCTAAGGTATGATAAAAAAAAAAAGTCCTCGCTCAAAGCTCAAAAACTTGCCAGAAGAGGGAGAGAGTGAAAACAACTGTTCTCCCAGCTGTTTCCTGTCTACAGTGTCTGTGTAAATGTAGATAAATGTGAGGATTTTCTTTAAATCCTTCTTCTGTTTGCTAAATCTGACTGTCACTGCTAAAATCAGAGCAGATCCTACGCAATGGAGTAAAGTCCTCAATTTCAAATGTGACATAGCTCTGAATATCTCTGTGGATTTCCTTTTTTTTTTTCTTGTTATCTCAGCTAACAATCTCATTTGCAGACCCTGTACTTAAAGAAGCCATGGAAAAAAACAACTGTCTCTCAACACAATTATTTAAGTGCTACTTTTGTGATATCTTAAAGGTAACTCATTTCTTATTTTCTTTTTTTTTTCTTCTAAAAATGTATTTTTTTAAATGCCTTGAAACATTGACTTGTGTCTCTTTTATTTCTATGAATGCTTGAAGTAGACTTTTTCCTGCCTGGCTGTCATTTGAAAAATGCTGAATGTGCATTTTTTGTATATGCTTTGTAACTGTTCTTGTACAGAGCAGCTGCAAATAAATGCTAATTTTGAATGTCTAGTGTAGTCTACTTTAATAGTGATACTATTCAATAGACTCTTATTGTTGTATGCAGCATGTATTCATTTGCATATTTATATATTTGGATTGTACTAAATAATGTTTTGTACTTACTATGCTTGAATATTACAATGCAATGAATTGCACCTGTTCTGAGGCACATACTAGTACAGGTATACAGATAAATTGCATCAAGAGGTTGATTTCTTTTTTAATATTATGTTTCAGCGCTAAATTTTTAAATAGAAAATATACATTTATATTCATAATTGATAACTTTTTTTTTTTTTACTGCTAGTTATTATCACTGCAAACAATGCATACTTAGTATTTGATGTAAATGCAAGGTGCCAGTTTGGGATAGTGAAAGAGTTAACAGTAGTCATTTAATTCTCTTTTTCTTTTTTTTTTTCAATCCCCAGCAACCTTTACAAATGTTAGCAGATGTATAATTTTACATCAGTTTGTAGTACTTTACTCTGTCAGTGATTTAACTGCACAGCTTCCTAACTGTGAAGCTCTTTGCTGCAGGACTTGAAGGGTTAATGTGATGTACAATGTTATTCAATACATTTGTTTTTGCAACATTTTTATATGTTGAATTTGAAAACATTTTAAGCTTATTTGGTCAGACTGGTTTTAGTGACCTTTCTTGCAGTTTCTGGCAAAGATTCAAGTTTCCTTTCTCAGCATAAAAAAAAAGTTTCTGAAGGCTGGAGTTTTCTTTTTTTTTTCTATAGTTTGGAATGAGCTCATGCCATTAGATCAGCCACTACTAGTATTCACTGTAGGCCTTCTCCATAAAACAGATTACTGCTGCCCATTTGTAATTCATTTGTTTCAGGCTGAAGGAGTGACAAACACATTGTAATGATCATTCAGAGGTAATCTCTTTCTTGGCTGCTAGGTTTTATATTGTTCTGTTTATTCGTGAGAATGGAGGTATGAACTTATTTTTGGTCAGCTCTAGACTTCAGAATATAAATGAGAATGCCAAACCTCTGCTTTCATATTTATGCACCACATAACTTAAGACCAATAACTCAAAACTTTTAAATGGGATATGAAAAAAGCATTTGGCTATGCCTCAGTTCAGTAATTAAAGTAACATGTTTTTACCATGTTTGTCAGTTTTCATATAAATGTTATGATGAAATAATACATGCAATCTGTGACTGGTCATTAATAAAGTTATAGAGACCTCTTGACTCTATATGGTATCCTACTATAGAGTTAGCAGCAAAAACAATGATTTTGCAGTGCTGATTTAGATTGCTGCTGTGACAGGTTCCCTTTAAAAGATTTAATATATAGTACTAT